CTTAATCGCTGATTTGTACCTCTTCCTCTCCTTGATCTTCCTCCTGCTCTCCTCCAATGGTCCATCTCTGTCGGACAGCATTTGCTCTGTTCTGTCTTTGAATGCTCAGACTTCTGAGCTCTAGGTACGTAAGAATACTCTTTACAATGGTGTTATACTCTGCTGTTTCGATATACTCTGTTCCCAGTGTATTCCATTTATTAAAGTTAATGCTTTTCTTCCTTGTACATTTCGGTCTTTTATAGCTCTGTCTAGTGTTCCTTCCGCTGTTATTTTTAGCCCTAAGTATTTATACTCGTCACAAGACTTAATTTGCTGTCCCATTTTTAACACTAGATCTTGTTTTATTCCACCAATGCACATATAGGCTGCCTTTTTTATATTGACCTCCAAACCCCACTTTTTGTATTCTTCTACCAGTGTTCGAGTCATATATTCCAAGTCGTCATATTCCTGGGCCACTACAATTTGATCGTCGGCGAAACACAAGGTGTATGAAATGGTTTCATTTAATGGATTTCCCATGTTTTGGCATTTTCTTTTCCGTAGTTTGACGACCTGTTCTAAATAAATCTTGAAGAGCGTTGGCGAACTACAGCAACTTTGTTTAAGACCTTTATTCATTTGACACCCTTTTGTTAGTCTTTGATTTATTTTGGCTTTTGCTTCACTATTGTCGTACAGCTCTTTAATTGCTTTAATTAACTGAACGCTAATGTTTGGATTTTCCAAAGCCTTTCAAAGTAATTTAAATGGTACGCTGTCGCATGCTTTTTGTTAGTCTACGTATAGTAAATGCCACTCTTGTCCATATGCCGTTTTCTTTTCGATAACTTGGATTATACAGAACAGATGATCTACAGTGGAACTACCTGTCCTGAATCCGGCCTGTTCTTCTGCCTCCATGTCTTTGTACTCATTTTCAATTGTATTTCTTATTATTTTGCTGTACATTCTGCTCATATATAGTCATATATAGTCATAGATGTGCCTCTATAATAGGGTGTTTTCACTTTTTTCTAAATGTTTATATATAGAAAGTAGTTATGGCAAACATGACACTGACATAAATTTTTTGCAAAAAAAGTCTATAATAATTTTAAAGCGAATTTAAAATCAAATCAGATATTTTCCGCCAAAAACGCCGAATCCGTATCGTCGATTGCCTATTCCGACTGTGACGTAGCAGGTCATATCAACAAAGTGTCTCGTGTTTATTTTGTTGTTTTCGCAGCTTTGCTATATTATATAAGTTATTGTGATTATCATTATTTTATTGATTATTATTATTATCATGCATAATGGAAAATAGTGACCTGGATGGATCCCAAAATAAGTGGTGTTTTGTGAAAGGATGCAAGAATGAGGTTGAGTGTTCCTCATTGAGTGCTCCAAACAAACTCTTTTTAACCGTTCCCCATAATTATGCACGTAAAGTTTTATGATTCAAAGCAGCTAGACGTGATGTTCCTAAATCAAAATCAATATTTTTTAGTTGCGAGGATCGTTTTAATGAAAGTACGAACAAAAAGCTAATGATGAGGCAGATAGAATATGCGTTCGATTGTACTTTGTGTTCTGGGCTAGAATTTGCACTGTACAGTGCACAAAGAACCCTCGCGCTTCAATTCCACATATCCGATATCACCAAATTGTTCTCGTGATGCCCAAAATACAAGTTCAAGAGTTCATTTTACTTTTAAAGCAGCTATGTGTATAGGTTAGGTTAAGTTGAATAAGTGAAATTCTATATATTATGTACCTAATTTAAACCA